CCAAAATAGCAATGGCAGCACACGCTTTCAACAGACTTACTAAGCTCTGGAAATCATCCTCACTGCAGCAGAGAACTAAATTAAGGATCTATAAGTCTAATGTACGTTCTGTACTCCTCTATGCTGCAGAGTCATGGAAACTAAACAAGAAAGGAGATAGCCGAGTCAGAGGATTTGAAAGAAGATCCCTTCAACGCATCCTCAGGATAAAGGGGAACGACAAAATCCCGAACAAGGAAATATGGCGAAGGACAGGATTAAACGACATTGTCTCAGAATTTCGAACGAGGAGATGGAGATGGCTGGGCCATGTGCTACGCATGAGCAAAAAAAGACTCCCCAACATGGCGCTGAAGTGGAACCCACCCGGAAAGAAAAATAGAGGAAGACCACTGGGAACATGGAGGAGAGAGATGGAAGAAGAAGTACAGGCTACTGGCAAAACCTGGCATGAACTAAAGTGGCTCGCCCAGGACAGGGTGGAATGGCGGAGATTTGTTGCTGCCCTATACTCCACAAGGAGTGATGAGGATTAAGTAAATAAGTAAGTTATAGGGGCCGCCTTGTAAGAGGAATTGTTTGTGAACTTACCAACCTCCTAGAGAACTGTGACTTTTCTGATGACTTGGCTTTACTTTCACATGCCCAAAAAAACATCCAAGCAAAAACCACAAGAATAGAGCAAATTGCAAAAACCGTTGGGCTAAAGATAAACTCCGGAAAAACCAAGCTAATGAAAATAAAAACCAAAGGCGCTCTCAAGACCTTTGCAAAAGGAGCAGAGCTAGAAGAGGTCGAAGACTTTAAGTACCTCGGCAGCTATATATCAGCAAATGACAGCATGGAGAAAGAAATTGCCACCAGAATAGCAATGGCAGCACAAGCTTTCAACAGACTCACTAAGCTCTGGAAATCATCCTCACTGCAGCAGAGAACTAAATTAAGGATCTATAAGTCTAATGTACGTTCTGTACTCCTCTATGCTGCAGAGTCATGGAAACTAAACAAGAAAGGGGAGAGCCGACTCAGAAGCTTTGAAAGAAGATCCCTCCAACGCATCCTCAGGATAAAGTGGAACGACAAAATCCCGAACAAGGAAATATGGCGAAGGACAGGATTAAACGACATTGTCTCAGAATTTCGAACTAGGAGATGGAGATGGCTGGGCCATGTCCTACGCATGAGCAAAAAAAGACTCCCCAACATGGCGCTGAAGTGGAACCCACCCGGAAAGAAAAATAGAGGAAGACCACTGGGAACATGGAGGAGAGAGATGGAAGAAGAAGTACAGGCTACTGGCAAAACCTGGCATGAACTAAAGTGGCTCGTTCAGGACAGGGTGGAATGGTAGAGATTTGTTACTGCCCTATACTCCACAAGGAGTGATGAGGATTAGGTAAATAAGTAAGTTATAGGGGCCGCCTTGTAAGAGGAATTGTTTGTGAACTTACCAACCACCTAGAGAACTGTGACTTTTCTGATGACTTGGCTTTACTTTCACATGCCCAAAAAGACATCCAAGCAAAAACCACAAGAATAGAGCAAATTGCAAAAACCGTTGGGCTAAAGTTAAACTCCGGAAAAACCAAGCTTATGAAAATAAAAACCAAAAGCGCTCTCAAGACCTTTGCGAATGGAGCAGAGCTAGAAGAGGTCGAAGACTTTAAGAACCTCGGCAGCTATATATCAGCAAATGGCAGCATGGAGAAAGAAATTGCCACCAGAATAGCAATGGCAGCACAAGCTTTCAACAGACTCACTAAGCTCTGGAAATCATCCTCACTGCAGCAGAGAAATAAATTAAGGATCTATAAGTCTAATGTACGTTCTGTACTCCTCTATGCTGCATAGTCATGGAAACTAAACAAGAAAGGAGAGAGCCGACTCAGAGGCTTTGAAAGAAGATCCCTCAAACGCATCCTCAGGATAAAGTGGAACGACAAAATCCCGAACAAGGAAATATGGCGAAGGACAGGATTAAACGACATTGTCTCAGAAGTTCGAACGAGGAGATGGAGATGGCTGGGCCATGTCCTACGCATGAGCAAAAAAGTCTCCCCAACATGGCGCTGAAGTGGAACCAACCCGGAAAGAGAAAAAAAGGAAGACCACTGGGAACATGGAGGAGGGAGATGGAAGAAGAAGTACAGGCTACTGGCAAAACCTGGCATGAACTAAAGTGGCTCGCCCAGGACAGGGTGGAATGGCGGAGATTTGTTGCTGCCCTATACTCCACAGGGAGTGATGAGGATTAAGTAAGTTAGTAAGTTATAGGGGCCGCCTTGTAAAGATAGTTAGCAATTACACAATATTAGCATCCATGCTAAACAACACCCATTATAACCCTCACAAGATATTGTTTTTCATTTAGTTCCTTTACTACACTTACATATAAACATGTGATAATGTTTATAAACGTAGAACACCTTTTAGCTCTGTCGACTGGATAAGCATAGTACTACAAACGTAGTTACAGAAAAATACAAAAATCTTCTTTTACTGCAACTTAATTTTTTAAATAATTCTGGATACACTGTAATGTGTTTGCCTATGCCAGGGGTCTCCAAACTTTTCAGCTTGAGGGCCGCATTAACTATCAAATATCAGTTCAAGGGCCAGAGGTTCTATAGGGCGACTCCCCCTCCCCCCTAAGAACGTCAGCCATCCCCCCCTTTCCCCAACGATATATATACATACACACATGTCAAGTGTCCCCCCCCCCCCCCCCCCGCCGAGAAGAAAGTGTTAAAGAAACACTGTCGAGGGACGAAAACACACTCTAGGTCCTAGTTTGTTTTCAAATTGTTCTTCGCGTATTTCATTCTTGAAAATGTTTGTTCACACAGGTATGTTGTTTCAAAATTTGAAAGGTACTTGGATGCAAAATCTTTTATATTAGGAAAGTCTTCCTTTGTCAAATACTTATAAAAACCCACCCGCCCTTCTTTGAACGTGTCTATAAGGAGGGCATTTGCTTTAAATTCAATGACCTCAAGCTGCAGCTCATCTGCGCAACTGCCCACATTAGCTTCAAATGGGTTTTGAGACAGCCTCACTTCTTCTGTGTTTGAATTCAAGCCAGAAAACTGCGGGGGGGGGGGGGGGGGGGGGGCAGGGATGGGACATATATCCCCGGGCGCCGAACTTAGGGGGCGCCAAAATGGGTTGGAAAAACAAATTGAAAGTTTGAGGGGGGATGCAAATCGGAAGTTTGTTCCCGGGCGCCGGGAAGGGTAGCTACGCCTCTGACTGAAACAACAGCTGGAGGTCTATGATGATCTTGCGTGCAGATAAACCTGGGAACTCAGCTGATGCTTCAGCCTTGAAGACATTTTACTGCTGACAAATTGTTGGCCTGTGCTTGTTCCAAAAAAAACAAGACGTTTGGATCTCCAGTTGCCTTTTAGTGGGTGTATAAATCAGAAAACAGATTTCCCTCTCTTGTAGTTTTAGGTTCAGAAAATTTTAATGGCTTGTTATGTCTGAAGCAGATGCCAATTTCTATACACACTCTTCAAACAGACATTAATGGCTGTGGCTTGCTTTTACTTTCCAGGAGGCCTCCTATTTCCTTTCTTAACTTAAATAACTGCTCTGAACTTTCTCACAACTTAGCCATCTTAATGCTTTGTAATATGGTAAATCTTGCGATTCTGTGTTTGTATCTTTCAACATGTCTCTGAACTGTCTATTGAGCCCATGTGTCCTTCTTAAATTCGCAATCTTCACCAAATGATTCAGTACACTGCTAATGTCCACATATTTAGCCCACAAAGCTTGCTGGTGAATAATATAGTGCAAGAACATTGGTTGTAGAATGTTTTTCCCATTCGCTTGTCCAACCAAGGCTTTCTTTATGCCACTTTTGTACTTTTCTCCATCAACAGTCAGGTAACTGTGGTTAGTCCAGTACAAGTTATAATCAGCGTTTTTTTTTAACTCATTGTATATATCTTCTCAGGTAACAGAACCAGACATGTTATGTAGGGAAACCATCTCTTGCGTTATGTTCATTTTATGTTCATGTCTTCATCCACACCCCTAATGAACACAAGCAGTTGAGAGGTGGAACAGCTGTCCAGCAACTCATCCATCGCAATCGAAAATTTTTCGCTATGTGAGTCACAATGTTTTAACCAATGTGTGCAATACGTTGGGCAATGGTAATTGCACAAAAAGCTACATTTTTCAAACTGTTTTGAATATCTGGGAAAAGTTCCTCAGTCACTTCTAAAAAACTTTTTTTTTCCGTGGACAAAACAATCTCGGCAGGCCGGATGAAATGACCTCGCGAGCCGCATCCGGCCCGCGGGCCGCAGTTTGGAGACCCCTGGTCTATGCACATGAATGCTGTTATTTACAGAAAATCCTAGCAGAATTTTTTTTAAGCTTGTTATAAATGTAATGTTTTTTATTTGTCTTCACGATACAAGTTCATACAACGTAATAACTTAAGACCACTCGTACAATGAATATGCACACTACATTATTTTTATCATCAATTACGCACTGTTTATATTCAATAAATCACAACACTACCATCGCATGATTACAACTACTTACAGAATTTCGTTAAGGATCGTTTAATAGTTATACAAAATATTTTATTAAAATCCATGCAATGTTTATATACATACAAAGAACAAAATACAATATAATGACTACAAAGTATTGTATTCTATAACGGCTAATATTTAAACCTCAGATTATAACAATGTAGAAAAATAATTACCTTCTGTTGACGTCCACGAATGCTGTTTGATGAATAGACTTCTGCTTATAGAATGTAGGCTGCAGTGATCATTTAGTTGCAGGTTAAGGCAAAGCAAATTAGTCACGAAACTTAAGCTAGTTGTACTTTATCACTAACTTGCAGTTTCGTAAACTTTTTGCAAAGTCTTCAATAATATGTCACACCTTCTTATCAAGCTGACTTCATCAGTTATAGGCTAAAGTATAAATGGCTTGAATGAGTCTTGTATTGGCGTCTGTTGACGAGTGGAGCTCAGATTTTAACATTTGTGTAGATTCAATGGGGGTTATTTAATTTTGTATCAAAATTGATCCAACATGAAATGAAGGGTTAACAAAAATACCTAATCTATGAAAAAATCCTGAACTACCAGTAAACCTTAATAAAACACAGTCATTATCCACAACTGCATTTAAAAATATTTATTTTCAAAATAATCGAAACACTATCGAGGTTGTGCAAAAAAATAAAAAAAAATAAACACAAAATAAATCAAATTTAAAAGGGCTTCATGGTGTCTAAAACATTCTAAATATAATTCTTAGTTATCAACACAATAAATAAGGAACCAAAAATTAAAAAATAAGACAATTCATTGTTAATGTAATTAATTAAGAACTCGATTAAGTCATTGTAAAACGATGATTATTTGAAGTATTGCACTAGATTTAAATGCTCTTTCAGTATGTCAATATAACTTGAACAAAATTACATAAATGCCGGATGTGGATAACTATAAATTATTTAAAATTTATTTTATCTTAATTACAACTTTAAAAAGATGGTAGCTAACTTTAACACGACAAACAATACTTCGATTAGATGTATACTGACGCCCTATCAAGTAGGCAAAACCTTAGTGACGTTTTATAAACTGTGTAGTTTTAAAACTAATGTGTATATTGGATGAACAAATACATTTACTCTCTTGCACATTTATCTTCTCACTGATTTAAATTACTTGCTAGACATTGATCAAATTTCGACAAACCACTCACAGCATATTGTCTTAAAATTCAAAACACATAAAATTATGTATTCCTAAAGAAATTTTTACAAAATTAAAACTATGTTGGGCTTATAGGTAATACTTTTATTATGAACTATAAATAACGTGTTAATATATTGGAATGTATTGTTTAATTTAGACTTTTTAAAATTTCTTTTCAAGAAAAATATGTTAAATTAAAATACTAAGAATACAAAAACTAGACATGAACAACCATGCTTTAAAAACCATATCAAACCATAAGAGGCTGATAAGTTGCTGATTAGAATCAAACAGTCACTGCAGATTTTGGGCAGTGCGTTTCATATAAGATTAATTTACTTTATTTAAATTTAAGACTCATAGTATCGTTTGTTTACAGTTGAAAGCTAAGCTTTTAGTTACCTATAGATATAACACGATTGATATATTGACTTAAAATACCAAATACATGACACAAAAAGATAGACACCAAACAAGAAAATTAGAAGCTACTTTCCTATAATGGTAAAGTAATGATGCTTGTCTGTATTAATAGAGCCTCATACAAGTGATATTATTTTGGTAGCTATAATAATATTGTCTCGTTGTAAGTTTGCATCATTTAACGTTCGTCATTTTGAAACTATCGGCAGTTTTTGGGCAATTTTTCATGCCTAGCCGGCACTCCGTTCTTTGTCTTAGCTATTTTGCAGACAAAGTTGTTCAAAATAAATTTATCAATTTGCGTTTGGACATAACGTAGCTTTTATAAACAATAAGTGACATTATTTGTAAATTTCTTTAGTTATCTAAAGATTATATTAACATTTTCACTTGATGATATGAATAGTTTACTGCTTAGGCTTTGAAATTTATTAGTATTTAGTTAGTATTTTATATTTTTATTAATATTTTTAGCTAGTTAGTATTTTATTATGAATTATAAGGAATGTGTTAACATTTTGCTATTTCACTTTTACTATATGATTTTTATTTCAGCTGCATAATGTTTATTAGCATAAACTTTTGTATTCCTTCTGGAGAGAATAACAAATATGAAAATAGTTGTTGTTGACAAATAAAACATAGTGAAGGTAACTTGCTGCTTCGACAACATTCAAAGAGGTATGGAAGAAAAAACGACATTGGATTGAAGTAAAAAGGAGCACACGATGATAGAGTGATCAACAGTCGGTTGCTTACCCACACGTTACGAGATTAGCTCTAGCGCAGAATCCGTCCGTCCACCAACCACTAAAAGGCATCTGCCTGAAGACGTCGGAACTAAAATCACATATGCTTAGTGTTAAGCATTCAATCCATCCTAATATTGAAGTAAGATATTAATATACATCAACCTATGCACAAGGTTTTATTAATTTAGCTAATACGTGGATATACAAAAAGCAATACATCCTCTTTGTAGTAAATCCACTTGATAAATTTACATGGCGAAACGCAGGAACGAAATATCTTTGAAATAAGAGGAAAAACAAATGTTGTATGATGTATTGACTTTTAAAAGATCAAAACATTACATAATATAGACATCACTGTTGACAAGAGAAATTTACCAAACCAACAGCTTCAGCTTCACATTACAATCAAGAATGTGTAATAGAGCTATGAGCAGGTTGTTGTTTTATTATGCAACGAATACTGTCAAAAGCTTCATTAATCCCAGTTTCTTTTTGGATATCTCTAATACCGTTTTAAGTACTATCCTAACAATATATGCTGTGATACTGTTTGCAAAAGACATAAAAAGTTTCGACGCCATCTTTAGACCACGTGCTTCAGTGTAAATCTTGTCAGTGTATAACAAATATTTTTACGCGTTTTTCAAACAACATTAATGTCTTTAATAAGCTTTAAATGTACACTAAAAATAAAAATAAACGATTTTCATTAAATATATTTTATTGCATTAACTGTTAAGAAAAGTGTTAGTAGCTAAATAATGTATTTAGTAATAGACGCATGTTTTCTTTATAGTTATGAAATTGTAGTGCATTAATATATATTTATATAAACGTTTTTATTAAATATGTGCAAACAACTGTAAATGTGCACTCATTTTTTCAATTTTTTAATAATGCTTCCGCCTTGAGTTTACTTTAATCATTCACCGTTATATCATTCATCGTAATACTATTATGTCCATTTATCAATAATGTGTCTACTATTTAACGACTTATTTATAAAATTCAAAGCTGTTTAAACTGAATATGTGTATATCTAAAGAGATCTTATAAGAAGTAGGCAAATATTCGAAATACCTTGACTGATTAAAAAAACGAAACGAGTTACATATACACATTTCACTTATTACTAACCTCTGTTTTCTTTCAGGAAACATGAAATCTTCCATAACAGCTGTTTGTTGGTTTACAGTATTTGTTTTGTTATCAGTAACAAGCCTATTATCAAGTGAGGTTTTGGCTACTGAAGTAAGACAAGTTAATTGTCCAAAAGACTTTGCTTTTTGTGTTTTTCCTGGTTAAAATCAATTTCTAGGAAAAGGGGAAAGCATAATTAAAAAACCTGATATAACAGATGAGTTTTGCTAGTATACAATTAAAGAGAATTTTTGCTAATAATTTTAAGTCTTTTAAAAAGTCATAAAATTTGCAAAATATAAAATGGTGTTTGCAATTAATAGATATTCAAGTAGTAGAAATATATCTTTGATAATCATTTATTTTTTAAAGAACATGATTAATACTGGTGTTTGCCTGTAATAAAAACATAAGGTTGTTGCTATGAACATTTTAGAAATATGACCTGAAGTTCTAAAGCATTAAATTCATAACAGCTATTAATATATTGTTTTACATGTAATTTTGGATACTCATTGTTTTTACTATTTAACTTTGTTGAAATTAATACTTATCCCTGTTGAAATATTAAACATATTTTACAAATTATTTTTCATTTTTATTTATAAAAATGTTTTTTAAAAGACTGTATTATGGTGTATGCGATGAATATTGTATGGAAAAAAAAACATGTATGGCTATGACTATGTATATGCATATGCTAATAACTGTTGTTCGCCAATATAAGCAATCTTGCTATTGCCGCAATAATTGTTTTATGAATACAACCCGAAACATTACAGTTTGTTCAATCAAATAAACATGTTTTGAATCAGATATTTTATTTAGCTCTGTATTTTGATATTCATGCATTTCATTTTAAAACTTCAATTTTTTTTAACAACAAAATATATATTCTGACTGAAATATTAAACAGTATTTTATACAAAAAAATTATTTTCTGTTTTGTTTTTTTTCCGAAACTAATTAATTAATTAATTATTGCTAAGGTTTTGAGCGATTTAATCGGTATGCTAAGAACAAAGTAAAATATTAAATTTAATATAATAAAATAATTTAAATAAACATGGTTTTCTTAACTGAACACAAATTACAAGTTATCATTGTTATGATGCATGTTCTCAATATAGGTTGGTGGGAAGAAATGCTGATGTGATACCCTGGGTAGAACTTCTGAATGTGACTGTGAGAGAATTGTGGAATAAACCAAGAACCAATAGTACCTTATCTGATGGACAGAACCTGGACAAACTGTTAACATGAGTTGAATGTCAGTAGATTGAAATAAAGTTGTGTGGGAGTAAAGCTTCAAGATTTAATGTATGAATTGATTCGGATTTGATAATATAATGACATTTCACGTATATATTACCAAGTTGATATCGTTAGGTTGAATAATTTGCTTGACTATAGTATGTTATTAGAAGCTAATGTTATTCGCTTGAAGGGAGAGGGGGGTAATGTTATGATGCATGTCCTCAACATAGGTTGGTGCGAGTGAATATTGGTGCGTACGTATGTTGAACGAATGGAGATGTGACGCGTATAGTGTGATTGTGACGTTTTGCGTAGAGACTGGTTGCTGTGCATTATGTGTGAGTTAGTCTGATCTTGATCGTCTTGGTGAGGGGTATAGATGACCGCTGTGACTCAGTCGGGAGAGTGATTCGTGAGACATCCGTGTGGATGACGATAATAAGTAGAATCTGTGAGTCCAGTACCAGAATAAACATCAGAAGAAAAAAACCTACATTCATCTTATCAATAAATTGTCACCTGTGTCGTCTAGATGTGCAATGCTATAATGACTGGCTATGTTGTCTGAGGTTCTCACATGGCAGTGAACCAAGTAGTTCAAGTTCTCACAATCGCAACAAATATTATAAAATAATGTTTAGTTCAATACTGTCATTTCATAGAGGATTGTTGAATAAAATAAGTGTGAAGATATTCCTAACTATGTTCACGAAAGTATAACCTACTGTCTAACACCGTGTTTACACACTTGCGACATGCATACTTTACTTGTCTACAAAAAAAAATTTCGCCATTAGTTAATTTTATCAGAACACAAATTGCCAAGTTTTTTTTTCTAGACATGTTGTGTAGTAAATATGAAACGAACCAAGGGAAATAATCCTTAAAACAACATTATGATATTTTGTTTGAGTTAATTTTCTTACTTTTTGTTGGACAGTATAAATTAATTATAGAGTTATGTACAGAATTAATTTAGGCTATATGAAATCTTGTACATGTGCATATATGTTTAGGTGGATTGTGTAAAAAAAAAAACTCTATGCAACTATATGGGGGGAGGGGGGAAGAAGCTGAATAAATGTACAGAGAAATACACACATTATCACGTAACTTCAAGAACGTTATTATGAGTTAAGTTAGTTAATCAGCGCGTATAGATCAGGGACGGAACTACATTTCCGCCAGACCCCACAATGCGAGGGGGGGGGGGGGGGGGCGTCATTTAGGGGCCCACAGCCGACCATAATACTTTATTTATTTTTTTATAGTTAAACAAAATTTCACTACAGATAAGCAAACGTTCATCCATTTCCATTACTTATTGCCCTTTTTCAATAGTCAAATAGGGATGCTCATATTCTCCTCTTAATAGATTTGCACTAAACAAATTAAAAAGCAATTACTTCTCTTAATTATATTTTTTTTATAAAGTAATTACTAAAGAATAACATTATATAAAAATAAAATGTAGTTAAAATAAATAATACAAAAACAAAAACAAAACAATAAAAATAAACATAACACGAAACACCATTACTAATACAAAGCTTTCATGTTTTATATTCTTTTGACTGACTAGCGGTTAAGAGGTCTTATAGCAGAGATAAAATAAAACTGATTTTCACAAAACACACTAATGCACTTACATACATGAAATGGTGTTGTCATTTGTTTTAATTAAAGAAAAAAATTTATTTTTCAAAACCCGAACAGGCCAGCAATGAGTATACTATGTTCGTATTTTGGGTTTGAATATACATATATATATATATATATATATATATATATATATATATATATATATATATATATATATATATTTGTTTGTTTGTTTGTTTATTTATTTATTTATATATATCACATTTATGTATATATATATATATATATATATATATATATATATATATATATATATATATATATATATATATATATATATATATATATATATATATATATATATACGTATATATATATATGTATATATATATATATATATATATATATATATATATATGTATATATATATATATATATATATATATATATATATATATATTATAAGTATTATTATTATAGTTATTTTTATTGTTCATAATATTCAACATAGCGATATAGCACGGGATCAGCTTCAAATTATTAGGAGCTCACTACTGACAAATAAAAATACATTATACTACTTTTTAGCTCGGAGACAGTAATACACTTAAGTATCGAATTATATTTTAAAACATATGATTAGGCTAAATCACGTAATACAGTTATATTTAAAAGAAAGCTCTATTTACTATTGGAGGCATTAACTTTTTCAGATTAAAAAATATACTTTAATTAAAATCAATCTCGCGCGTTTTGATTACGCGTAGCAAAAGCCAGCAGCCTGCGCGGCGTGGGGTGCTTGCCGAAGAGAGTTAGAGCAATTACGTCTTGCTGGAAGCACATAAAGCATAGTTGTGCCGCGCACTTGCTTCCAGTGGATAGAAAATTAGAATTGTAGAATACTCGAAGCGAACAGTTGAATAACTTTGTTGTCTTTGTGGTCAAATATATATGAATGATAAAAGCATATATATTACAGATAGATAGTCAGATTAATAGACAGACAGATAGATATATAGATAAATAGGTAGGTAGTTTGGTAGGTAGGTAGTTTGGTAGGTAGTTAGTTAGTTAGTTGGTTAGTTAGGTAGATACGTAGGTAGATAAGTAGGTAGATAAGTAGGTAGGTAGGTAGGTAGGTAGGTAGGTAGGTACGTACGTACGTACGTAGGTAGGTAGGTAGGTAGGTAGGTAGGTAGGTAAGTTGGTTGGTAGGTTGTTTGGTAGATTGGTAGGTAGGTCGGTAGTATATCCTGCGTTTTGTTTTCAATTACAACTGATTTCGCACTCTCTTATCGTCTGATTAAATACGCTGTATCTCCACTTTCTGCAAATGGGTGGGAGAAATAGTGGTGGAAATCAAAACTGAAATAAATCTTTCGATCTTTTGTTTTTACAGTTCTCCTCCAAGATCGTTTAAGACTCGCTTATTCCCTCTGTGGGTTACCACATAAGTACAGCTCCGTCATGATTATCCAATAGTTAATAACTTAATTTTGTTTTTTAAATTTCAGTTTTAATTTCAAACAAGACTTTTTCAGTTCATTAATTTTGCTAGACTTTTTCGGTATATTCGTTTTGCTTTACTTTTAGTTCGCTTGCATCTTAAGGATTCCAAAATGAATGCAGTTATTATTAAGCTTTTTGTCGGTCTCCTAATGAGCTGAACAACCAAAACCTGCTTTATTAAATTTCGTCTTTATCGGGTTTTTAGTGTATCAGCATTTCTTCTCGCTGAAATAGCTTATGGGCAGAAATTGTATTTAGGCATTTTTCGCAAATTAATTGAAACTTCTGGGGGGGGAGGGGGGGGGGGGGTAAGGCATTAACAATTTCCACGGGACAGGACATTACACTGTTGAGTATATTATGAACTGTGTGAAATAATTTTATATTGTTTCCATTGTTGTGCTAGCAGATATCAATAAACGCTACTTCATCTGCTCAAGTGTTTCTTCCAGACTTTTTTTTTCAGAGGGGCACTTGATATTTATTTATTTTTTTTTTTGGGGGGGGGGGGGTGGAGGGGTGGAATAAATTTTCCGGGGGGGGGGGGGGATGGACAATGGTAAAAGTATATATTTTCTATATAAATTCCATTTCGTTTGAAGGAGGGTGGTAGACTTTCTTCGGGAGGGGGGGGGGGGAGAGAGTGGGGGCTCCGTTCTCTGAAGAGATGCCTAGGGGAAACGATAATGATGATTTAGATATCTATTCTTTATAGTTATTACAGTTATTTAAATAGTTATTCATTGTTATATATTTTAAGAAAATTACTTCTTTTCTGTGCATAGAGATCTACAAGGACTTGTTACTAAACATTTGTTGAATAAAATAGTGTTTAAAACTTTAATAGAATCGAAAAGATTTGTGCACCAAATGAACGCAATGTGCGTATACATATAATACGCGGGGAAATGAGAACTGTTTAAGACAATCTAAATTTAAAAATAAAAAACTACGTAAAGCAACTAATTGAGGCAAATTTTATGTTGTATTGCATCAACAGCGGGTGTTAACATACGTGTCGTTTAAAAAAAAAAAGTCTCGACTTATAACGAACGCATTAAGATAAAAAGAAAACAACAACGACGAATTAAGTTAAATAAAAGCTTGTAAAAATGCATATGATTGTATTAGTATAATAAGTGTACATTTGTAATTTTTTAATGTATAAACGTTTCATTCTTATCTTCTTTCAGTTTTAGTAGACTTCACAATATTCAAGTCTCAAAATTAGACGAAAAAAACATGAATTTTAACACAGAAAACTTAAGCCTTGTATTAAATGATACACAATGGTATGGAAATGACGGACAAACAAAACAAACACTGTACAGTATTTCTGACGAAGATTTCTACATCATAGATACGTTCTTGATGAGATTTCTTCTTGAAATTCTTATTTTACTTGGAATCCTGGGGAACTGCGCCACAATAAGAATTTTAGTCTACAACGGTTTCTCATCAACAACAAATATAGTTCTAACAGCTTTAGCAGTATCGGATTTGTTCTATTCAATAACAAACTTGTTGATATTCGTGTACAAATACATACAACTGTTCAACTTTTACACAGCTCAAACTGTTGTTGTTATCATGTATAGTTCTATATATCATTGGAACCAATGTTCAGTATCCATCAGCATTCAACTGGTTTCAATAATAGCCCTTGAGCGAATGATTGCTGTGTGGTTTCCCTTTAGTGTAACCCGCATCATTACACCTGTAAGAATGACCTGTATTGTCTTCATTGTTTATGTTGCTATGTCACTTCTTTATGTGCCGTATCAACTCATGCTTACATATAAATGGATTACAATTACAATAGATAGAACCAATATTACATTTGCTACGATACTGTATACTGAATTTCACTCTAATAATAGCGACTTCTACGATTATTATCGTTTGTATTTTGGTTTAACCATTACTGTTATTGTTCCTGCAACAATAATCATCGTGAGTTCTGTGATGATAATTGTAAGACTAACCATATCAACAAAAAATGTTAAAAACATGTCTTCAATAAAGGCTTCGGATAAAAGAAAAAATGACATGAGATCTATCAAAATAACTTTAACCTTATGTGTCACTTTAGTCGTCCTGGTTTTAATTCCATCAAATACATTTGATTATTTGTTTTCATACGGGACACCTGGTGTGTTCGATGTAAATACTGTTAGGACAATTCAGTGGACTCTCTATAATATTTTCCAGCTGAATGCTTCAATTAATTTTGTAATATACGTAACTATGAATTCAAAATTTTCAAAAACGTATAAAAAACTATTTTGTTGCTCAGTATAAATGAACATAGTTATAAATACTTGACACATAGACCCTAGGGTAGTGATTATTTCAATGAATGATAGAAAAAAATAAGCATTTGGTTAGATCCTCTCACACCCCGTAAGGGGTCATCCATAAATGACGTCACACTCGTAGGGTGGAGGGGGGGGGTCTGTAATTTTGTGACGATGTGTGATGATGGGGAGGGGGGGGGTTCGTCACACTTTTGCATTATAAAAAAGCAGTTAGAATATGAATTTTAGACGTTATTTTGCGTTTTAGATAACTGTTTTAATAAATTGTAATAGTTTAGACAAGATTTTAGAAAAATATCGATGTTTTAAAAAAATTCAACTGCAATTTTGAAGGGGTTGTAGGTTGAGGTGTGACGTCATTTTAGGGGGGGGGGGGTCTGGCTTTTTGTGACGACGTGTGACGGAGGGGAGGGGTGGAGGTAAAAATCGTCCAAAAAAGCGTGACGTCATTTATGGATGACCCATCAAAGGATAATTTATCCTCACAGGGTGGAGAGGAAATAAAAACAGTGTTTACTTCCTCGACAGGATGTGAGTGGATATAAGCACCTTATGTATTTCCTCTAAAGTATGACGAAATTGTCTAAGAGAAATAAAAATACTTCTATTAAGTTCTGCATAAAATATAGATCTTAAGTCAAAATATACTTATTTCATTAACTAATTTCAAATTCGTAATATTTATTCTGAAAAAAAAAAGAATAATATTTTCTTAAACTTTCTCTAACCCTTATTTTTAAAGATATAATGTGTAAAAAATATTGCCATTTGCACTCAGAGTTTCTTCCAGGCATCTCTTCGGGGGGGCGAAGCCCCCCCCGAAAATTTTTTACCGCCCCCCCGAACGAAATGAAATTTATATAATTTATATAGAAAATATATACTTTTAACAGTGTCCGCCCCCCCAAAGAAAGTTTACCGCCCCCCCGAAGATTTCAAGTGCCCCCCCGGAGAAAAAAGTCTGGAAGAAACACTGTTTGCACTCTATCGATTCTGCAAGGAAGCGCTTGATGCATGGATTAAACGATAATATAATAAACAAAACAAACCTCTCCTTAAATAAAATAAAAATTCACTTCTGTTCAAAAATTCACAAAAAATGTGTATGCCTAAAATAAGAAGCTGTGAGAGGGTCTGATCACGTTGCTTATTTCCTTTACAGTTGGCGGATATATATCACTTCCGGCCATGGAGGTAATATAGATATGTATTATTTAAAGAGTGGTAAATTGGTATTATTATGGTAATTATAGGTATATGCTGTTACATTTTTTGGAGATAATTTTTTACTTATAATAATTATTGTTGTCGTATATATTTTTTTAAATAGTTAAACTATAAACCAATGTGAAAGTTCTTTATTTAAAAAGTTAAAAAGGTTGCTAGCAGATCTTTATTAGCATATTTAGATAAATTATTTGTAGGCCTACAACAAATTTTAAAATAAACTTAAATGGTTAAAAATGAAAAGCATTTCTAATTCTATTCAATATCAAAATTAGTTATTCATAATGCATATATTATAATTGATAAATTAGTGTTTTACCTAATACATAACATTTTAATGGACCAATACCCCTCATTTTATATGATTTAAATCAATTGGTACATCACTTAATAACACAGCATAACAAAATCACAAGACACGATATGTCTTGGTAATATGTACACACTATTTTGGTTTTCAATGGACTGTTCTTTAATTAATGTAATTTAAATCAATCGTTCTTATCATATTAAGCATTTGAAATTAACACACTCAAAGAAATTAAAATTCTTAAAAGAAAAACATTTTAAACATGTGGTTAAGTTGATATAGTTATCGAAATACTGTATGTTTGTAAGTAATATGAATTAGCTTACTTTCTATCTACTTAAAATACATAGTGATATATATTTTATTTACATTTGCATTATTTTGTTTTTCTGTTGCATTAAATAAATTTAAATTTATATTTTAATAAAATGTTTTGATACTCTTTTTAATATAACGGGTTAGACGTTTAATCATGTACTAATAAAATGTTACTAAAAACTTTTTTAAAGATCCATTTTTATTTAAATGCTAGTTTTGTTAAATGTAAGCACAAAGATTTTATGATCGTAAAAAATACCTTCTTTTATTTGTGTATATAAAATACAATTATTATAGTGTGTCCTTATTTTTACAGTATTGAAATTGAAAATATTGATTTGCTAAGGTGATACAAACAGGCAGTTAACTGTAATAGGGAAAAACGTTTTTAACTTGTTATTTCTTCAAATGTGTTTTGGGATTCTTAAAATGAGATAAATGAGAACATTTAAATTTACATATTTTAAAATAATAGAGATAATGGTCTTTGATTTACCTTTTGTAGGAAGTGTCAAAATAATGTAAATAAAGCAAACTTATAATGTCTGTCTTTCACATCAAAATGAAGTCTTTTAAAAAAGTATAGTTTCATAGCAAATTTGAATATATGCAAATTGAAATTTTAAAGATGCACTTATCATGTATCAATTTTATTCATTGTCCAAAACTTTTTTAAAAACAATTTTTTACAATGAATGGTTTGAAATTTGTTTTTCTACACTGTGAGATCTGATGCATCACAATTAGCACTTTCTAATGAACTTTATTTTAGATAACATGCCATGAGATTAATATGTGACTTACTTATACATTGCACTTCACTATTTTGTACTTGCTTAGCATTTATGCATGCACACTTTGTTCACAACAAAAGAGATCTTTTAAAAAATTAAACATACTTGTACTTAGTTGTGCTAACATGTAATTATTGTTATTTTTTTTTAAATTTTTGCTTAGATTGTGAATTCAAAAGGTGATTGTTAAAAAGCATCATCCACTTTTCAAATAAAGTAGTTACACTGGCTAATTGCTGTTAAAAAACATTATTTTATCTGACATGTATGAATAAAAAAAGATGAAAATGATGAGTTTAGTAATAAACTTACACACTCACATTTATATTAAAATATTCTATTTTTATCAAAAATAGAAGTTAATAAAGAATTAGCAGCTTTTTATATGTGGAGAGTTATCTTTCCTACACATTTTCAACCATACTTGGTTACAATATTTTTATTTTTATACAGATAAAATAGAGAAACAAAATACAAAATTACTTTTATTAACTGACAAATTTTATTATGTTTATGTGTTACATCAGTAAGTGTGTAAACCATTAGCTCAAAATTATACAGACACTAGTAAAACACTAATTATTAATGAAAAAATTAATTAGGCAAAAATAAAGTAAATACCAAAAAGTCTATTGAGCAGATGAAGTGATGTTAAAATATATATATATAAACATATTTTTTAAAGTACTTCTTTACTTTGGCACTGATTTTAGACACCGTTACATTCCATTGCTTAAGAGTGATGACTTAGAGATGTGGGAACACATTCAGCACTATGCCACTGGTATAAAAATCAATTAAATCCTTGATCATAACACATTTAAAAATCTATACAAGGAAAAAAAGACACTGTTATCTGTGGGATTAATAATATATTTCCGGCAGTAACTGGACTCTGTAAAGCCACTTTTGCAAATTGTAAGTAGAATTCTTTTAGATATTTGGGTTCTCCACATCAAGATATGATTCTATAATAAACAATATATCTAGAAAAAAAGATTAATAGCTAGAAGCTCTCAAGTACCATAACAGCTAACATTGCCACAGATATATCTGATGAACAAGAACACCTAAAGTAATGAGATTAAAAAATAAATAATTAAATGAAACAAACTCAATTATAAAGTCATCTGAGAATATCAGGTTAGTGCTATTGTTAGTGCAACATCTAGAAAAGTTTGATAAATGTGAATATTAATCTAATGGGAGCAAATAGTCACAGTGTTCTGGATTTTGATAAATATTTTTAAATATTTAGATTTAGACTTAAATTTTTGAGTTTAGTCACAGACTTCAATACACTGCAATCCCATAATTACTAACATTAATATAGAAATGGATCTTGAGATTTATACAAAAATAAAAACTATATGACCTATTCAATAACATTTACACATGTGTGTTAAATTTTCTATTAGCAATTATTATTCTACTTAACAGAAAATATATCTACTTGTTTCGTCCATCCTAAAGGGTTTAAAGTATTGTTCTGTAAGGCTACAGGTTCAGTAGACAAAAGTCTATTCCAACATATTTATTTATACCTACATTTTTTTAAGACAAGTAACTGGAATTCAGAACAAATAGATATTTTAAAAAAAAAATACACTTGTATAAATCACATGTCAATTAAGCTAAAAATGCAAGACAAACAAAAACTGTTTCACCATTGTAGTTTTATTTTACTTTTCCTAGTTTTTTAAATAGAATAATTTGCTTTTTATGATAAATCTCCCACAAAAACATTGCTAGTGCATTTCTTTAAGTGAATGCTGTGTGGATAACTTAAATTTACCAGTAAGTGGAAATAAAAAAAAAGCTTTTAAAACATTTACATATTAAAATTAAAGAAAACATTGCTGAAATATGAGGGAGAAAAGTAATTCTTCAGACTAGCTGATTTAGTTTTAGGAAAATTAAATTTAAGCAGGCCCAGATAGAAGTCTTGAAATGTACCAACATTACAAGTTTTGCAAGTGGAGAATTTTTCAAGCTGAGATTTGGCAATATTGATAGTTTGAGTAGTCTAACTTCAAACTGTATCAGTATTTCCAGAATACAGTTGAAAATAATTTTGCACTGAAGCTAACATTGCCAGCTCTAGTTGTCCATGAAACAGACAATCCTCCCAGCTCTGATGGAGTAAGTTCAATCTGGATCAGTAGTGCCAGGTTGCAGGCTTAAAAATTATCCACACATAAGCCAATGTTGCTTTCGTTATTAGTCATGGGAACAGTCTTTTAAAAAAATATTTGTGAATTTGTAATATAATGTAATCAATTTATGGGTGATCAGATTTATATTCAATACAAGTAAATGAGTGGATATTTAATTTAGGTATGTATAAATTTAGCTTAGGAATCTTAATTTTTAAGGCAGATTAATGTATCATTCTTAAGATAATTGCTAATACTTAGTCGTCCTTAAAAAATGTTAGGTTTCCCAGCTAGCAGCCCAATATTCAAATCATCTCTTTCCAGTTTTGAAAAAAAAGTGTATTTTGTTGTGTTAAAGGTATGGCATGGTTGGGTGGTAGAGTGTGAGACTGCTAATCTCATGACCAGAGTTCAGATCCTTGCTTGAGTCAAAAAAGCATCACTAAGAGCACACAAAACGTCACTAAATATGCATTTGTTGATACAGATTCATGGATTAAATGTCAGTGTAAATAAATGGATAATTAAGAATAATAAATGTCACTGCACATTGGAGGGTAATTTTGGATAGTAAATGTCAAGAAACACCAATGGACAATGGGGTAAATAAATATCACTGAACATAAGGATAATTATGGAAAATAAATGTCATTGAGTACATAGATAATTATGTCTAAAATGTCAGCTAACAATGATGTATAATTATGTCTACAAATGTCACTGGACACTGGTGTATAATCAAGGAAAGAAAATGTCACTGAGCATGGTACTAATGGCTAACAAAACCAGATGAGCTTTAGTTGATCTGCCAACATGGAATGGCATGTATGCAAGAGTTGTTTGCTTGTTACTTTACACCAGAAACTTGCTGGAAATAAAACTTCATATGCAGTTGAATCTTTATAAGCATGGTAAATATTCTCAGTTCACCTGTGCACCTCCGAGTCTGGACTTTGTCCAGAAATAGAATAGAGAGGCTGCCCTGCTACTGGCTATCGTAGAAGGTGACTTATATAGCATGTTAATTGTGTAGCCTTTGTGTTTATCTGTTAGTTTGTATTCCAAATTAGAAAAAGCAGATGCATCGAATAAATGCTTTACTTTTTAAAGAAAACAAAAGTTATTTCTTCATCATTAAATTATTTTGTAAAGACAATGAGTTTATGTATGTATTTAATTTTCACTTAATTAAATGTAGTGCTATTTTTTATTTTCTCTTCCACAGAATTATTTTTTTTAGCTTGTGTCATTTTATGAAAATTTATAAAGCTGGTAAGTATCTTTTTTAATGATTTCTTGATAAGTATTTTCTTTAACAAGCATTAGGGTATCAAATTAAATATAAAATATTTAATGTATTAGTTAACTTATTCACCTGACTCTAATTGAATTTTGAAACAGTTTTGTAGTTAATAGTGCACTTTACTCATTGAAAAAGTAACCACCCACGCGCTATATCTTCTTAGATAAGCTGAAACTGTGAACCATCAAGTAATGGATTAGCTAAGTGTTCAATTTTGGAGATACTAATTGCTTTTCAAGTTGTAAAAGAGCATGTCTAGATTTAAAATTATGTTTATTTGTGGGTTTTTTTTCAAATATTTTTTAAGTGAATGTTAATAGTTTCATGTTTTAAAAAAAACAAGAATGACTGGAAGTTAGTATTTTACAAACAAGTTTTCAAAAAAGATAAATGTAATCAAAATACTAGCCTTAATAGTATGAAGCATGTGCAGGTAAAGGCTACCTTATAAAATGTATTGCATGTGTTTGACTGAGGTGTTGAAAAAGTCATCAACAACAGGTAAGAATATTTTATTTTTGTATCATGAAAGCATCCTAACCATTTCATAATAATTGTGTTAATGTTTACAAACATATTAACTAAAAAATGTGATTTTTACATTTTTTAACTTGTGAGTGTCAAAGTGAATTTTTAATTAAATAAAGAACTTGGGCTGTTACATATTGAGTGAAGAATAGAAATGTGAACCTAAATTCCATTTGTATAGGAAATTTTAAAAAAAACAATAGTGGAACAGTCTTTTATGTGATGTTGCTGTGATTTAAAAGTGATTTTGATGTACCTGTCACTTAAGGAATTCAGTTATGTGGATGAGCACCAAGGGTAAGTAACTCATCTTTAATAACTTTTGAGACCATTCATCTCTATCACTTTGTTTTTAATCTGAAATTAGATATATCACTTATGAGTAATTTTTCTCTTAAGTACATTTTAACAGAGAGAATTTTTAGATATATCACTGTAAAACAAGAAAATCAGTTGCCTTTTAATTATCTTTTAAACCTTTAATACAACGGAGATGACGATTTTAGTAATTTGCAATGTTATGGTTTATTAAAATTTATGGTGAAAAAAATGTATGTCAAAGGCAGGCGTTATTTTTCTTAGTTGATGAAAAATAATATATATAAACACAGAATATTTTACTTTAAACCTGGTTATCTACAACATATCAAGCACTTCTAATTTCAATGCATAGGATCTGTGATAGAATAATTCAAGTGTCTCATCATACAAAACATGCCTAGGACTGAATCTACATTGGTTTATGCCATTTAAAAGTAAAATTGCATAAGCCCTTGTAAGATGCAGTATATGGTGCATCTACAGCTGACAAGAAATTTATTCCGAACTAATTTTGAACATAAAACTAATGTAACTATAAAATGCACTTAAATTTTAGCTGTATGTGCTCTATGTCATAAATATTATGCACAATTAATTTTACACTAATAATAAGCTTTGTAGGAGTAATATGAGCCAGTGTTTCAAAAAGTGATTGTTGTCACCTAAAAGATGAATGGAACAGTTTCAATCAAGATTTAGATGCTGCCATATAAATGTATACTTTTACCACAATAAGTATACTTTATGTGGCAGCCGAAAATCTATGATGCTCTCTACCAAAGCTCAAGATATGTGCCATCCTTCATAGTGTGCTAGTGTAGCTACCATAGGCATAAGATTCATTCAGCTTCTAGATTTAGGAGAGAACACAAACGAATATACTGCTGCTACCATCAGTATGCTCTACTTACTACCTTTAAGTTTATAAGAAAGCAAATCCAGTTATCAAAAGTTAGAGCTATGTTCAGAAAACTTCTGTTTCTTCATGTTCTTTGTAGTCTGCTTTTGTATGTTTAGTCTGTTTGCATGTATAAATTCATGTTGTCTGTTTTCAAATTTTCAGGTTGTGTGCACATGTTAAAAAAAGTTTGCATTTATTAAGGTTGTTCTTTTTTCATCCAAATATATGCCCCTTCTCCATTTAAAAGTTGTTTTTCTTCTTAAATTTAACTTTAAAAGGATTGGATCTTTACGATAAATCTCCTTGTGTAATAGAATTTTACTCAGTGGAAATTTACAAGTACATTAAATATATGCATGTTAAAATTTCAGTTAATAATCTACTACATCTACATGAATGAGACAATTGTTAAGTTGTTATTTAAAACAGTTGATTTAGGTTTATTCAAATAAAATAACAGCAGCAGTCCCAGATAGAAGTCTTGAAATGTACCAACAGATCTACCAACATTACAAGTTCTACAAGGCTGAGGATTCTTCAAGTTGTGATTTGGCGATACCAATAAAGTTTGAGTAGCCAAACTTCAAACTTTATCGGTATTTCCTGATTGCAGCTTTGAACATCACCAACACTGAAGCGCCAACATTGCCTGCACTAGGAGTTGTCAATGCCGCAGAGAATTCTCCAAGCTGTGTTTGGTCACCACTGATACAGATTGAGTAAATTCAATCTAGATCAGTAGTGCCAGACAGCAGGCTTGAAAATTATCCACACTGATGCCTTTATTAAACACGGCAACTACCTGTGAATTTTTTACTTAATGTAATAAATTATTGTGTTATCAGATTGATATTCAGTTACAAGTAAATTTGTGACTATGTAAGTTAAGTTGGGGATGTATTATTTTAGCTAAAGAATTCTTAATTTATGAGGGAAGATAAATGTATTAGTTTTAAGAAAATTGCTAATACTTTATCTTCTGTCAAAATTTGAGGTTTTCCAACAAGTAGCTGAATATTCAACTCATCTTTCTAGTTAAAAAAAAATTATATTTTGTTGTGTGAAAGGTATGGCATGGTTGAGTGGTAGAGAGTGAGACTGCTCATCTGATGACAAGAGTTCAGATCCTTGCTTGAGTCAATACAGCATCGCTAAGTGCATGTAAAATGTCACTGGTAATGGTATTGATGGGTACAGAACACAAATTCATGAATAAAATGCCACTGCACACTAGAGGGTAATTTTGAATAGCAAATATCAATAAGCAACGATGCATAATTGAGGTAAATAAATAGCACTGTGCAGATGGAAAGTAAATGTCACTGAATACATAGATATCTATGTATGGAAATGTCAGTGAACGCTCATCTATAATTATGTTTACAAATGTCACTTAACAGATGTATAATTATGTCAACAAATGTCAGCGAACACTGATGTATAATTATGTCTACAAATGTCACTTAACACTGGTGTATAATTATGTATGGAAATGTCACTGAACAGTGGTGTATAATTATGTTTACAAATGTCAGCAAACACTGATGTGTTATTAAGAAAAGAAAATGTCACTGAACATGGTACTAATGGCTGACAAAAGCCGACGAGCTTCAGTTGATCTGCCAACATGGAATAGCATGTATGCAAGCGTTGTTTGCGTGTTACTTAACACCAGAAACTTCCTGGGGAGAAAACTTTGTATGCAGTTATACTTTTGATTATCATGGCAAATATTCTCAGTTCACATGTGTATCTATGGGGTCTGGACTTAGTCATACTTGGACTTAGTCCAGAATTAGAATAGGGCTGGTGCCATGCAACTGCTTGCCATAAGGGGCAACTTATGAAACATGTTAATAGTGTAGATTTTGTGTTTATTTTTTAGTTTGTGCTCCATTTTGAGAAATTAGATGCATCTAATAAGGGCATTATTTTTTTAAAGAAAATACATTGGCAACATATTCTGAAACAAATTGATGTTTAAAATTATTAAATTGTTATGTCAAATTTATAAGTGTTTATAAACATTTAGTTTTAATTAATTAAATGTAATATTTAATATTTTATTTTCTCTTTCACAGAAGCAAACAATTTTTAGCTGTGACATTTTAGAGTAGATGTTAATGAAAATTTTAAAAGCTGGTAAGTGTTAATTTTTTCTAGTAGTGTCATCAGTAAGTTCTTTTTAGTATTCTCTTTAAAAATCTTCAGGGTATGAATTTAAAAATGAAATAAATTTATAGTTTATTTATTCCTATTACTCAAAACAAACTTCAAGACATTTTTATTAGTAATTATGCTTTTTATTACTTAAAAAATCAACCATCCTCACACATCATTATTTTCTTAAACAAGCTGAAGCTTTGAACACATTGTCATCCATATTGTAATGGGTCAGCCAAGAGTTATATTTGTAAAGATTATGGCAGATTTTTCGAGTTTTAAATAAACAAGCCGTCGTTTTAATTAATTTATTTTAAAAATATTAATTTATGCTAAAATTCTTTAAGAATATTCAAGTATGATTAGATCATGGACAGTTTTTCAAGCTAAAATATTTTGAGCAATTTAATTCGATGGTACAATAGTGATGGACTGTAAAACTGGAATAACTTCTTTTAGCATAAAGACTCAACTTTTTTGATGGGTCCTTTTTCAGTTCTGTTTCTGTAACTTGTGATGCGCCGAAGTGAATATTTGTTCAAATAAAAGACTGACATTTCAAAGTGAGTGAAGAATAGGACTGTGAACTGTGAATTCCATTTGTGAAGGAAATTCCAATAACATTCCTGTGTAGAAAAACAGTGGATTTATATGTGAAGTGACATTGCAGTGACATAAATGGATTTATATTTAAAGCTATATTACAGTGGTTTCAAAAGTGACTTTCAAATACCTGCCAATTGAGGAATTCTGTTATCAAGGGTAAGTAACTCATCTTTTATAACTTTTACAAAAACACTTCACATCCCTGCACTTTGTTATTCTGAAAAAGAGATTTTAAAATGTTAGAATTGTTTTTTCCTTTAATTATAACAACAGTGAGTTTCTAGCCATATTTTTTATAAAATAAAAACAAAATATTAATAGCTGATGAATATCTGGGATGTAAATATAGCTTATCACCACAGAGAGTCTTGTATTGTGTATTTTAATTTAGAAATAATACAAACAATAGAATGGCAGCCCGATATAAAATAAAATCATCTACACATACTTAGTGAAGAGATTTGCTTGTATGTATACTTTGTTTCTTTTATATTAAAAGGGATTTGTGACATCTGTAAAAATAGAAGTGCTAAAATGCTCAAAATAGCTCATTCTATTGAAATCTGTAACATTAATTTTACACCCACTTTCAATTTCATTTATATCAAATACATCTCAACATATTACAATGTTTAATACTGATATTATAATGATGTAAAAACTATGTGCTATTTTGAAATCTCAGCACTTCCAATTCAGGGCTAGACCCTGACACAAAGTTTAGATTTTTTCAAATTACTCCTCCTTTTGACACTGCACTAACCATTACCATAACACTAGAAACACCCTAACCATTATCAGTAACTAATCACATTTTGGTATGGCACTGTATATTTGTATATTTGTGATCATTTGGCTAATTTTGATAGACTAAAAGTAGGATTTTTTTATTAAGCATAAATCTAAACCTATTAAAATTTTTGTGGATTGAAATTTTTTTAAAAACTTTACAGATTAAATTCACACTTTAAAAAAACAAAACAGTTATTGTTTTAAATGAAATATTGGCATTATTATAGGAAATGCTTAAAGTTTGATCAAAATGCAATTTCATTTGGCAGTAGTAGGCTATAAATTTAATTAGCTAAAAAATAAGTAAAGTAATAATTCCTAAGTATGTACATGATATTTTTTTTCAGATGTGATACTTGCACAAAGCAACAGCTCAACTTTAATCATTGTATTAATTATTTTATAGTTAACAATTAGCTATAGCTTAAACAAAACTCAGACTTTAAACAAGGGAAATTTAAAATTAGATAATAAATAAACAATGGCCATGGAATATCAGCATGAGCCACACACCATTATGATAACTGTGGCTGGTTTTGACACAGACTGTGTAACCAGAGAGATGATTCTCCAAGTGTTAAGACTGCATGCTCACATACACAGTGTACATATACAAAAACTGTACACATTAGGTAACATTCGGGTCTGGTACTTAAAACTCACAGACTTAGCCAAAAGTAAATATTATCATTACTTAGATGGATCGCAGTTCCGTTTTTCTGCTGCGAATATTTTGTTCACCTTTAAGCATTTAGACTATTATTCCTGGGCTAGTCTCTACTGGGTGCCAGAGTTTTTTAATAGGACAAACGTGTTGGAAATTGTGGGGGCTATAGCCAAACCCTTCACAAGTATGTTGGTGCATAAAGAGCAACAAGGGAAGTGGAACATTCGTTTTGTTGCTGTCAACTTGTACCAAATTCCTCATTACATCAATGTGAAATACCTAATGCAGTACCATGTCATCCTGGTGGTGTTGCCTGGCCGAGCATCAATCTGCTATAAGTGTGGACAAACAGGCCACGCAGCTGGGAAGTGTCCAAATGTCAGCCTGCATGATGAGAGAAATAGAAAGGCAATTTATTTCCCGGAGATAACACTGTTCAGTGGGGCATGTGGAAACTGCACAGCTACAAACCCAATGAGAAATTTGCAGTTAGCAGGGTCAGCGCAGGCACTCAACAGGGGGGCAGCGCAGGCACTCAACAGGGGGGCAGTGCAGGCACTCAACAGGGGGGCACTCAATATTGGGGAAATGGATACACCCAATATTGGGGGAATGGATACACCCAATTTTGGGGGAATGGATACACTCAATATTGGGGGAATGCAGACACTCAACAGGGGGGCACTCAATATTGGGGGAATGGATACACCCAATATTGGGGGAATGGATACACAAAATATTGGGGGAATGGATACACCCAATATTGGGGGAATGCAGAGACTCAACAGGGGGGCAGTGCAGAGACTTAACAGGGGGGCAGTGCAGTCATTAGATATGGAGGAAGTACAGGTCTTCAATATGGGGGCAGCGCAGACATTCACCAGGGAGGAAGTACAAGCACTCAACAGGGGGGCAGTGAGGGCATCTGACAAAGGGGCAGAACAATCAACTAACACGAGCTCAGAACAACCACCTAAAAGTAGGGCAAAACAAAAATCTAAAAAGAGTGCAAAACAACCATCCAATAAGCAAGCAGAAAAATCCAAAAAGGGTTCAGAGGAATCACCAGATAGATGGGCAGAGCTAGCATTGAACAAGTGGGCAGCACAGACATTGAACAATAATTCACTACAGTCATACAACGTGTCTGCAGAACAAACACACCCCATGTGTGCTAAACAATCATACAACGTGTCTGCAGAACAATCACCCAACAGGGGCCTAGAACAACCATCAAAAGGTTGGACTGATGAAGACATTGACAGCTTATTCGAGATACCTTCGAATTGGAAATTAAGTCAGGAAACCAAGTGGCACATTGGAAAGCTGGAAAGGGACTTCCAAAATCTGCAAGCCTCTTGCCTCAACAATGCAGACGATCCAGGCCCTCAACTAAAAGATATCCCAAAACAACAAGATAGTTTTAACATTTCACAGAACACCTCAGCTTCACAGCATGAGAACACTATGCAAATCCATTCTTTCCAAACTCTAAAAAAGCCAGAGATAAGAAGAAACCTAGGTGTTGTAGATACAGGATTTAGCTCATTATCAATGGATGCATTCATAAGACAGTTATCTCCTGAATTAGATTTAGCAATCAAACTAAGCCAGGAAACTGAAGGGAGCGGTCAGCCATCAGATAAGAAGGCTCAGGATATAAGTAAGTCAGGAGCAACCCAATCAAGTACTGCACCAAAGAAAAACCCACAACATTTCTTATCTCTCTCAGATATTAGCATACCAGACATAGAGATGGATGAAACTGGTTACACGTTTGACATAAGAGCCCCTTATGACTACACAGATAAACAACAGGCACAAACAGAGAAATCTGTTCAAGTTCCCTGCAAGGATTTAGAAGAAAAACCACAAGAGCCGGATCAGTCAAACCAAGGAAGGGCTGAAACTCTCACCCACAGCAAGAGAGGTAAGAAAGGTGAAAAAAAACCACGCACCCCACGGGAAAAAAGAAAAGCCCCAGGTAATGATTTTGAGCCAAACCTAGAAGTGCCTGTTTTACCAAAATATAAAAAACAACTCACGGCAGAGAAATACTTTAAAAAATTTAGACCTTGGAAAAAAAATGGACAAAAATCTGGCAACTCTAAAAAGGACAGCTCAGAGAATAGTGGTCTATAGCTTAATGGTTACTTCAAAATATAATATAAAAATACACTAGAAGATACTTATGAATAAATACATAGATAACTGGGTAGCTACTGAATGTGATAGTTGTATCATGTATTTTTTCTTGCCGTTCACTTGATGTACATTTAAATATTAAAATTAACTTTGAAATGTTTTTTAACACTAATGTCAATGATATTTAAATGTACTTTTTTTTACGTTAAAGCCCATGGTAATATTTATGAAATGTATAAAATTCTTGATATATTTTTCTCGAGAATTCACCTTTGTGTACAGATACTCAATTATTTATATTTAAGTTATATAAATGTGCCGATAGCATTGAATACGAAATGGATAAAATAACGTAAGAACATATGTTTAGTAGCTCTGCAATGCCAATGAATAATTTTTAACACATACCATTACACAAACCTCTTTCATCTACCAGGATTAGGCACATTTTTGTATTGTAGAAATCTTTGACACACATCACTCAAATGTCCTGAAACATATAATGAGATGTTAAAAATAAATAATTAAAAACTTGCTGACAGTAAAAGTTTTCAATTTTTTACAAATCAATCTAATAATATTTTAATATGCCTAGAATTTTAAAATGTTGGCAACTAACAGAGCCAGTAGTAAAGTAACATTCCCATAGCCACAATCATGTCAGTTATAAAACGTCCGATAAAGAGTATCCCGGTTTAATGATCATCAACTCGGTAACAAGGCTGGATATCAACAACCAGTTTGGGATGATAAAACACTGTAGCACATCATGACAATAACTTTCAGTATCTGTATCCAATGCTTTTATTTTAAAACATGTAATGATTAATTCTTATATAAAACAGTAATTTATTGTATTATTTGTGATTATTTATTTATTTATGATTACACAGCCTTTTGCAAAATTCAATGAATATTTTTACTTGTTTTATGAAGAAGCTCTAAATGTAATGGCACACTTTTTGTCACACTGCAGGTTGTATACATTTCTTTTTTTTTTGTTAGCATTGACAAATGAATAAGATAATTATAGCAATGATTTAATTATCTTATCATCTCCAAGCATACAGATAATAGAAACAACTTTTACAAAAACTTACATTATGAATTTAATAGTGATGACCCAGTTCAAAGTGATCCACAACATAACTGTGTGTGAGATTTTTTTTTTCAAAATCCTTATCTGTAAAAAAAAATATATTCATAAAAACAAAAGTAACACCATTAAAAAAAAAATCAGCAATATAAAAGTCACATTAATTATAGCCCATACCTGACTAAATTCACTTCAAACAATGTGTTATTACAATATAAATGTTTTTAAAATTTTCTACTCATATGATTACAATTTATATTGCAAGAATAATTAGTTTCTATATATTCTAACCTGGAAAGACATGATTGGGAAATTAATGAATGTCATCTGTCAGTGCCATTACAGTACATCTGTTGTATGCATGGAAACACTGTAATAAATATAAAACATACTTATATTTTTGTTAAATGTGGAAGCTTCTTACAGATTATGATTTGCACCTTGTTTTTAAACTTTTGTGTTTTAAACATTTTATGTTTATGAAGAAAAGCACTTATTACACACATTTAATACAATTCTTATTTTACACACTATGCATTATTAAATGTTAAATGTTTTATAAAAAGTCAAGGTGTTTGTTTTATTAAACCCTCAATTTTTCTGTTTGTAATGTTTTCTCTGTTTTAAATCAAATTTTGGGTGACGGCAATCATGTTACCAAAATATTAAGGTGAACTATAAATTTGGTAATCAACATTTGTACTGCCTTATAAATAAAGCACTAAAATCAATGTAAAGCTTTACAGCAGCCTAAGAAAAAGGTGAACATTGGAGCGAGGATTAGGATTGGAATATTAAATTACTGGTATAATAATTCCCCGTGTGGTTCCGGGGTCTGGGTATAGCCAGAAAAAGAATAGCACCACTGCTGCGCTACTTGCATGTCGTACAAGGCGACTAATAGTAGCCAATAACATATTTGTTTTTAAAAAAAAATCACACTGGAGTTTTAATATAAAGTATTTTAAAAGATCAAGTTTTGGAAACTACTAAACAAATATGTTGTTGATGGTGGGGGGGAAAGGGGGGGAGGAAAGGGGAGGTTAATGGCAAAATTTAAAAAACGTCTCAAGATTTGTAAAAAATTGTGATTATATTGTGGTTAATTTTTATTTGATTAAGAGTGAAGCTGATTTAGCAGAAACACTCTGTTTAATACTCTATGCTTTGAGTAAACTATAAACAAACTTATAAAAAACATTTAATATACAGAAAGTAAAAATTTCTGGTAAATCAAAAATGTGTAGATCTTGAATGGTGCAGCTACTCTACCAGTAGTAGTATGAATAATCATATTCAAAGATTACATGAAACTTATTTTTGGACTAATCAAGGAATCTAGCTGTTTAAAGAAGTTGGACATTAGCAAGATCATTACAACTAAAATTCTAGGAAGTGCATCAAACACAGTGAGAAAAAGAATAAGAATGATGGATTGAGAATGACTAAGCCCTAAGGTAGGCCAATGTTTGATTTTGCAAAAGAGGAATTTATCAAACGCTCAGAACATATTAGGCCATATAGATTCAGTTACCTGGCTTGCCATACTTTGGCGAAGCATTACCAATGTCCAATAAGTTGGCAATAACTTTCAACACCTAGATCTATCTCTACCTAACAATATAGGCCTAGTCATCACAAATTGTCACAATTCAATAGCTTCAGGTTAAATAAATTTCATAATCATGTAGGTCTAAGCATAGACTTTAGATCAGTAGATTAGAATGAGAGGTCTCCAAACTTTTCATCATGAGGTCCGGACTAACTATCAAATGTTAGTTCGGGGGCCAGTTTCTTCCATGCATCTCACTGGGGAGTCGGAGCCCCTCCCCCCTCAAGAACGTCTCCCCCCCCCCTCCAGCTATTGTGTTACGTACATGTCTTCATCCACGCCTCTATTGAACACATGCAGTTGACAGGTGGAACAGCTGTCCAACGTGAAGAATGGAGACACTTACTTGCATTTTTTGACATTTAAGTTACAATGTTTTCACCAATTTCTGCAACTCCCAAAGCTACATTTTCAAATAGTTTTGAATTTATTTGGCGAAATTCCTCAGCCACATTCAGAAACAAAATATCTCCATGGGCCGGATGAGAGGACCTCTCGGTCCGCAGGCCGTAGTTTGGAGACCCCTGGATTAGATGAATAGATCTAATCTAGTCTATTTATTTAGCCTACTCAAAAGTAAAAATATAGAACAGAAAAGAGGTTTAAAACATTACGTGTTATTGTTAAATCTAAATCTATCTAGATCTACTACTCCAAACAGAAGTTGTTCGTTGTTGTGAAATTAGTGGTGTACTACAGCAAAATTACCTACCTAGATTCTAGATTCTAGAATCTAGATCTAGAAAGAAACACTCGAGACTTAGCTAAGACTAGATTCTAGACTTTTGAACCGTATTCGAAGTTAGGCAGTAGATTTATACGTAGGCCTAGTGGGTTCTTTTATTGTTTATTTTTTAAAAGATCTTTAAAGAACTCTCATTTCGTGAGAAACGTTAACAAAATAACTAGATCTAGATCTAGAATCTAGATTCTAGATCAGGTGGTTCTAGATCTCTAGTGACAACACGTTTGTTGCTACTTTTCTCGAGTTATGGTTCTTAGTATTCTTAAAATTAGCGACTGGAACTTCTGTAAAAATGCGAAGCGAATTAAACGAATTTAAAAATAAAAAAAAATTATATGTGTAAAAATCAAATTATTAGGCCTATCATGCCCCTATACGTATCCTTCTTTGCAAACTTCTTTTCTTTTTTTTTCAGAAACAAACTACAATTTGATAGCATGTCAAGAAAAGTAACATTAAAAACATCCGTAGTTCCTATGTTTAAAAAAAAATATTATCGGTCCGATTTTGGATTAAAAACGTAAAATACATCATCGTAGAGTCGTAGAGTTTATCTAAATATTCATTACCCTGACAACAATGGCGTTAAACGAGAACACAATTATTAAAGAAATATCACTCAACGGGATAAGTGCAAAAAGCGTGCACGCAAGAAACACGATAGTGATTGAGCTTGAAGGTCCAAACGTTCATCAGATAACTCAAGAAATCATGTCCAAGATCGTTAGGCTGAAAGTCGGGATTGCAAGAGACGAGATTCGGGCCCTCTACAATTTAGGAAATCATTCAATCTGGTACTTGAGCTTGACTAGACACGCTGCAATAAATTTCCACGAACTATTGCATAATATGACATTCAAATCAAGAGACCACAATGTTTCCGTTACTCTAAAGCATTTGGACAGAAGCAAAACAAGAGCTTTTCTAGAATGGGTCCCTCCTACTTTCACCGATACTGACGTTAGGTTGATAGTTCAAACCATTGCAAACCCGCAGACGAGAATCGAGATCAAAAAGCTTAAAATATGTAAATGGGAGATCATCTTTCACCCTGAGAATATAAAAAATATCCCTCACTACATCAACGTGAGTTTCTCCACTCACAGCCATCTGACCCTGCAGCTACGCATCCCGGGGAGAGAAACGCCTTGTTTCTTTTGCAGCAGCTACCAGCACGAGACCTGCATGTGTCCGACCACTCTGGACGACGATGAAAGCCATACATGCGCGTCCAAGAGTAAGATCCCGGATAGCGTTAATTTAAGAAGGAACAAAGACACAACCAATGAACCGGAACAAGGGCAAATACTTGAGAAAGTTTCCGCCTTTTTCTCTCTCTGCGATCCTTACACTGCAGATTCTTCAGAGTCTGAGGTGGAGCTGTTTTCGCAGTTACGTCTCTCGCCGAAAAATGAAAAGCCTAAAAGAAAATTGGAGTATATGCGTGAAACTGAAATAGACGGTAAAGTCACTGAAAATTTGGAAGCAGGGGCTTCAGGAGGTGAAGGTGCCATGGAGGAACTAAACAATACAATGATTTCAGGCGTCATGCGGTACCAGGAGTCTTTAGAATCCGGGCTCTATGCCGGATCAACAGAATCCACTCGTTACACTGCGGCTTGGGCAGAGAAAGCGGCAAAAGCAACAACACAGGCGAAGGCAGATAAAAGGGCACCACCAAAAGTACCACCAAGGCCTGAAAATATAACAACAGGCGGAGCCAGGCCAAAATTGTACCCAAAACCTAAACCTAAACCCAAACCAAAAACATCAGACCTAGGTCAAACCGACACCCTGTTAATACCTGGCGTGTTCACTCCGTCATATACACGACACTCCAATACTGGGGCTGCCAAATATAAACAGCTGGAGGTGGGAAAGACTCGCAGCAGCTGCAGTAGCTCCTTCAGTTCCCCGTCGCCAACACCCTCCGATAAATCGCTCAATCTTTATCCGGAGAAGCGTTACGTGTCCACCTCTTCGATGAATTCACAAAAGGAGGTGTCTGTGATGAAAATTCTCAAAGATTACTTCACGGGGAAAAATCCGAACAAACGCAAAAAATGAGCATTGACTACTATTTTTAAGCTTTAGTATTTAGCAAACGTTTAGGTTATATAACACACAAAGTGCACCATACCCACATTAACTGTAAACTATGTAAGATGGTAAATAATACATACCATTTATTGATCCTTCTTCAACATTTTAAGTCATAATCTCTGCCACTGTAAATCCTTGGACAAAAAGCAATTGCATGAATTTCTGTTTGGCCAACGTCTGTGTGCACAAAAAGCATTGACCTTCTCTGTCGAAAAAAGCAATTGTATGTTTTTTCTGTCTGGCCTACGTCTCTGTGGACAAAAAAATTGTTTGATTTTTTGTTTGGCCTACGTCTCTGTGGACAAAAAGCAATTGTTTAATTTTCTGCCTTTTTAAGTCATTAATTTAAATTTTATTGCCTTGAGGTTTTTTGTATTTTGTATACTTAAAAACAGCACTTAAATAGGGTAATGAATTTTTTTAAATTTATTAATTACAATACGCCATCATTTAATCATCATTTAATAATTAAAATATATAAATCTCGAGGGCTGTGTCTGGGGTAGAAGATTAATAGTGACAACTTGTTAAAACGGGGAAAAAAGAAGAGTGTTTAAATTACATGTATTCCTATTAATAGTCTTTTTTTTATACATGCCATTTCTTATGCTGTGCTGTTGACGCATTGGATAATCAAAAATAAGCATGCGCCCTAAATTAATGTTGTAGAACTATGCCTGCCTGTTATCTTTCCAATACATTTTTTTACTACACGAGAACGAAAATTTCGAGAAAACATTTATGTACATATTTCATTTGAAGATCTAAGAGTTACACACGTAATTTCATATCTACTACAAATTTCTACATACGTTTCAATGAATACGGGAATTGTGATGTACTTAAACAGTTCGGTTAAAGATGTAATTAAAATAATACATTGAACTATCAATATTAATTGTAATAATTAGTAGATAACAACGCGTATTTTTAACTCAAGTTTTTTTTTAGAAAAATACTGTTCTTGAATATTAAATTTAATATTTAAAAAAATAAAGACGGTCATTCCCTTATACTAAAAGAAGCCATAATTATTGATGTTTACGTAATAAAAATAGTAACATCAAGGTTTTAAAAATAATGAGACCTTTAGATTTATCCAGTGGAAACTTGAAATTTAACCGAGCATACAGTTGAGTAGTTCACAGTTTCATGCCTTTTCCTTGTCTTCCAGTATGGTAGAAATTTGTTCTCTAAATCACAAAACACTTTTTATTACATTGGTGGTCACATAGTTGTGAAATAAAAATACATAGAGCGACAATTAAAAAAAATCGATTACCTCTTTTTTACAAACCAATATGGTAGTTTTACCTTATACGTTCTTTCTGGTTCATTTAGTTTATTGCGTCTCAAATGGTGATTACAATGTTGGCGTTTAGTAATTATTTACAATGTAATCCGAGATGTCCAGAAAAACACATTTTTAGACGAAAATGTAAGTCTAGGAAAAAAATCCGAGCAAACATTGTAAGTACAGAAAATGTGTGTTTCATTTGAAACATTTGATTTGTATCTCATATTAAAAATCTAGGATTTATTTTTTAGATTTTGATTTTAGAAAAAAATAAATGTGTTCCATATTCTCAAAAATATAATCTTAGAAAATTGCACTTGAGAAAAAACGTTTCTGTGAAAAAAGGGCTTAATGTTTTTTTAAAAATTATTTACATGTTACATTAAATATCTGTTAGATTGCTAGATAGTTGTGATTAAAATAATTACCGTTGACGTTTCATATTTAAAAAAAAATATTGGGTGATTTTTTACTGGGATTTAACTGCTACCCCTAAAATAACGTTAAAATTTAAACTTATCCCTTCACTGTCCATAATTTTTAATATTTGAAATGTAAAATTAGAATGCTTAGTATAACAATAATTTATAAAACTCACTAGTTAGATAATTGCATTGTGAGCCTAATTATGAATATTTATATTAAGTGCTGTTGGTTAGGCAAAACCTTTATGATAGTTGTATTCACTTTATGTTAATTGTTGTGATTTAGTTTCGTAGAAATAAATTTTTATATGATAGAATAATTAATCTCTTTTTTTTTCTTTTGTAAAATAACTAAAAGCTTTAGAAAAAAGAAGAAATTAAAAAATGACATCCAAATAATCATAATTTTCATCCTCCGGTGAAACGGAATTTTCAAAAACAAATTAAATTATAATTATTGTTTCACGAACTTGGAAGATGAAGTAGAGTTCCCTTATTTCTTTTGGCTCGGCATTTGAAATGGTTATGTCATCATCTCCCTGCATTTGGGCTTTAATTAAAAGGAACTGGAATATTTGAATCTAGATGAAATTCAACATTGCTGTTCAGGTATTAATTTGTAAAATTAAAGATTGATCAAATGCTTGGCTACAAAACGTCTGTAAGTATTTTAATTTTTTTTACTTTTGTACCCTTTTTTTCTAAAAGAAATTCTGTTAACCAGTCATTATACTAAATCCTATATGCCCACTAATAAATGTAGAATTTAAGAATCTGTATTCCTACTTTGAAAAGTGAAGAAACATTAATTACCGTTACCTTTCAGAAGCAGTATCAGAGAGCTTTTGGTTGATGAAGTGCGATGGATCAAGTGACGCCTTAGTTCTTTATGTGCATGAAGTGCCGTCTCAATTATTGCGGCAATTCATGAGATAGTGGCGCTTCTATTACTGTGAATCAAGTAGTGCTTCTATTTTTGTGGTGAAACAATAGTACCTCTATGTTTGTGATGGATCAAGCAGTTCTCCTACGTTTTTAAAGCATCAGTGCCGTAATAATTATGAATTAATATCGCAACCAGTTATTTGTTCTGGATCAGATTGCACGTTTGTGTTTATGGTGAACTTCGTAAATCTTCCCCGTGTGCGCCCGGGATGTGGACTTAGTCCACAAGTAGAATAGGCACACACCAGGCTAAAGGTTGTCGTAGGAGGCGACTAATTTAGCAACGGCCGGCTAACTCAGATACCAGTCTCAGCGACAATAGATAATATCTCTAAAAACATTGACTAGCACAGAGCATCACAAAATTCACATTGGATGACATTACATCCCTAAAATAGTGCGACGTATTAGTCCTATAATACAGAAATCTGATTGTGTAAACATTGACATTTTGTGTTCTTCATGCCCACATTGGACTGTATTCAGAAACGAAAACTGGCAACGATAAAAAAAACCTGACGTATTATCCTGCATAAGGACTTTCCATTTAAGCGTAAAACTTCAAAGGAGTGACACTACTATACATTAAAAATGAGCTAAAATAGAGATTTTAAAAAAGTATGAAATGGTAATTCGAAGAAAAGGAAATTGTGCACTCGTTCATGAAATTTAAGAATTCGGAGAAATGTACTCAAAAAATACAATAGTTCGTCTTTCATCCTGATTTTTTTTTCTTACTTTGACCAAATCTTCTAAATAAGGGCCAACTCTGCAGTTGACGTTGATAGGAAATCCACAAATAGACTTCTCCATAATCGTCAACCAAAGGAAGCAACACAGAATGTTGATGTCAAGAATGGACTCGAAAAGGTAGGGGCAATTATTCTTTCGCACTATTTTGTAACGCTCATGCATTGTGCACTAAATGTATTTTCTGTGCATTTATATATAACAATCTGCAAATGTTTTTGTTGGGATATCACACACACGATTAATCCACGCAGATCAACTCGGGTATTCCCACATTCATTTTATAATAAATTGTTCTTGTAATTAGCTTTACAATACACTTTACTACTATATAGAAAAATCATCATACACAAGCAATTTTTCGTGTTCATCATTGAAATCAATTTAAATTTAAATTTAAAATACAGACCCTACACATCGGAATATCGTGCCCTTTAATTTATGTAATAATTAATTAAATGTTTCTTATGTCGGATTTTCTAAAAACTCATTAGAATGATATAGATCTACCTCCGCTTATTAAGCCTGTAATATTACACTACTTTTATTATAAACTGTTTGACTTAAGGCTGAGTTATAGAGGTCGGAGTGGGGGCAACATTTGAACACATTTTTTTCTACTTAATTATTTATAAGTATGTGTTAATGTCTTAGGGTCTAACTACCGCCAGACTTGAAGAAAACACCTGACAGAAAGTTGGATGGGAAACGAAAATTCAACATTAACATTGATGTTCAAAGCACTGTTGCGAGGAGGCTGTATCCTAGGAGCAAAAATTAACAAAAGATTAATAGGAGATGTGAATTTCAAGATTTAAAACTAGTTAGCCAGCTAAGACATTCCGTCCAGACTAAATTCATCAAAAACTCTGTAAAATAAAGTGAACAAGATATAGTATTGATAAATGTTTTTACGCACAGTTAATATAAAATTCCCACAAAATGCCTAGTAAATTATCGTCACTTGTAAATAGGAATGTTTGTACAAAGTGTATTGTTCAGTGATGTGAAATTGATGTAGTCATTTTTGAGTATTATATTTGTAACATAAAACTTAGTGTTGTTTTTGTATTAAATTAATAAATATTTATATTGGTGTACAAAGTGTATCATAAATTTTTATCATTTTTTTAAATTTAATATTATTTATCGAAACGCTGCAAAGCAATTTGTACATAATGTTAAATGTTTATCCATATCAAATCTCTGCAAAACAAATTGTACATAATGTATCATACAGTCTTGTTAAATGTTTATCCATATCAAATCTCTGCAAAACAAATTGTACATATTGTATCATACAGTCTTGTTAAATGTTTATCCATATCAAATCTCTGCAAACCAAATTGTACATATTGTATCATACAGTCTTGTTAAATGTTTATCCATATCAAATCTCTGCAATACAAATTGTACATAATGTATCATACTGTCTTGTTAAATGTTTATCCATGTCAAATCTCTGCAAACAAATTGTACATAATGTATCATACTGTCTTGTTAAATGTTTGTCCACAAGCAATTAAAATAGCACAAAAAGTATCATAAAATATGTCAATATTGTATTTAGGCGCAAGCAAAATAAAAGAAATGTTTGTGCAAAATATAACATCCTCTGTTATGAAATCGATGTTAAAAAGAAGTTGTATTTTTAAAAATAATATTTTAAACAGTGTTATAATTTTTTAAAGCTGATTTATGTAAAATTGTAGACATCGTGTATTTGAGTAATTAAATTGATACTTACGTGTAAATAATGTAAATAATATTTTTTATTTGACATTCTGACTGTAATATTTATAACATATAACTTAGTGTTGTTTTCAAATTTAATTAACGAATATTTAAATAAGTGTACATATTGCATCCCCCTATTTTAACTAAAACATGTATTAAATTCCTTGAAAGTGTAAATATTTCAAATGTTCCGAATCAACCAAAAACAGATATCATTTGTAAATATTATGTTTTAAAAATATAAAGTTGCTGACAACTAATAATGTAAATAATCAAATCTCAGGATGTCAATCGGTACCAAACAAGCTAAAATTGTGACATAGTCTTAATGTTTTTCTCTTGTTGTTTTTTTATCCATGCTTAGAGATGTATTTTGTACATATTGTAAAATAAAATATTATTAAAAATCAAATCATTAATTCTATAAAAACAATGATACTTTACATATTGTAGATTAAAATTTTATTACACTTTTTTAAAAAATCGTTATAAATTGTACTATTTCGGATGATAAATATTTTAACATGTATTGTTGTCTTTTTTATTTGTCATGATAACTATAATATTTGTAACATATAACTTAGTGTTGTCTTCAAATTAAATTAATGCACATTGAAATAAGTTAACATATTGCATCTCCCAAACAATTAATGCAAGTATAAATTATTCGTAAATGTAAATATCTTTAATTTTCCAAATAAAAAAATAATTCATTTGTAAATATCATGTTTTAAATATATGGGCTTGCTGAAAAGTAATAATATAAAAAATCATATCTCAGTATATCAATCTGTCAAAAATAGCTAAAACTGTAACATAGTCTTAATGTTGTTTTTTTTTGTTTTTTTGTTTATAATTTATGCTTATAGATATACTTTGTACATAATGTCAAGTAAAATATATTTAATCATAAAATCATTAATTCTGTAAAACAAGGATGCTTTACATATTGTAGATTAAAATTTTATTGCACATTTTTAAAATCGATATAAATTATACTATTTTGGATGATAAATATTTTTAAAATACTGATATTTAAATCATTATATTTTAACATGTGTTGTTGTCTTTTTTATTTGTCATTCTGACTATAATATTTGTAACATATAACTTAGTGTTGTGATCAAATTAAATTAATGCATATTTAAATTAGTTAACCAATTGCATTTCCCATTTATAATTAATGCATGTATAAAATATTCGTAAATGTAAATATCTCCAATTTTCAAAATCAATTAAAACAGTTATCATTTGTAAATAGTATGTTTTAATGTATAGTCTTGCTGATAAGTAATAATATAAATAATGATATCTCAAGATATCATTCTGTTCCAAAACAACTATAATTGTAACATAGTCTCAATATTGTTCGATTGTTTTGTGTAATTCATACTTATACATATATTCTGTACATAATGTAAAATGAAATATTATTAATTATCACATCATTAATTCTGTAAAAACTGATACTGTACATATAGTAGAATAAAATTGATTTGCACTTTATATAAATAGATATAAATCGTGCTATTTCGGATTATAACTTTTGCAAAAATAATTATATTTAAATCATTATATTTTAATATGTGTAACCTTAAATGTTTTTTTTTTATTTGTCATTCTGAGTAAAATATTTGTAACATATAATTTAGTGTTGTGATCAAATTAAATAATGCATATTGAAATAAGTTAACATATTGCATCTCCCATTTACAGTTAGTGCAAGCATAAATTATTCGTAAATGTAAATATCTTCAATTTTCAAAATCAATTTAAAAAATTATCATTTTTAAATATCATGTTTTAAATATATAGGCTTGCTGATAAGTAATAATATAAATAATCATATCTCAGTATATCAATCGGTCAAAAATAGCTAAAATTGTAACATAGTCTTAATGTTGTTCTCTTTTTTTATAATTCATAATAAATCAATAATTCATAATAAAATATAATTCACCATCAAATCATTAATTCTATAAAAACAAGGATGCTGTACATATTGTAAAATAAAATTGTATGACACATTTTTCAATCGATATAAAGTGTGCTATTTTGAATGTTAAATATTGAAAATCATTATATTTGGATATTTATGAAACCGTGTTATCTTAGCTACAATTGTAACATTATGTGTTTTTTTACATCTTTATGTATACGTAATGTAACAAACAAGGTAAGTACAATATGAATCATCAGTTCTATGAAACCAAATGCCTTGCACATTATCTACTATTTAATTTTATTTATTTTCTGCACTTTAAAAAACTAAAGTAGTTTTCATATGCATACAAAAAATCAATTTTTTAAAGCAGTAGCATTTAACTATTCTAATTTGCACCATAACAATAAGTTGTATGATTCATATTAATGTAATTGTATTTTTTCCAAATGGTATCATTCATTTGTATCTAGCGTTTAATTATTCGTTGGTTGCTTCATAATGTAAAAAAAAAATTTAGAACAGTTTTTAATGAATTCCAAGAGTTTTAAAAAACACCTGTAACGGTGCACCTATTTAAGTATTGTAAATAAGTGTATAATATATATATTTCAACAGGCATTTGGAGCCTTTTGTGCATAGTATTTTATTAAGTGTTCTGTTTTCTGATCGGTGTAATGTTTCGTTAGAATTTAGCTATGACATTTTGCATTAAGGAATAATCTTTTAATTTGAATGAATTTTTACGTTTAAATTTATTCACATTCAGTATTTTTTCACATGTAGAATTTACATTATTCATTAACGTTTGAAACATTTTACATTTGCTCATTTTGCTATCACATTTTATTTTTTTACAATTGTTCATTTTTTAATGTTTTCGACCTGTTCCATTTATTTTAGCATTTCTTTAATCTGTTCAATTAGCTGAAACGTTCTTACACCATCTAATTTTCTGTGACCGTTCTCTTTCCTTTTCAATTAACTGTAACCTTTCTTCAATCTGTTTAATTTGCTGAAACCCTTCTACCAAAAGCTCAAATCATTTTTACATTTCTTTCACCTTTTAAATTTTCTGTTACCATTGGCACACCTGTGTAATTGCTGAAACCTTTCTGCCAACAGCTCAAAACATTTTAACATTTCTTTCACCTTTTCAATTTTCTGTTACATTTGGCACGACTGTATAATTGCTGAAACCTTTCTGCCAACAGCTCAAAACATTTTAACATTTCTTTCACCTTTTCAATTTTCTGTTACATTTGGCACGACTGTATAATTGCTGAAACCTTTCTGCCAACAGCTCAAAACATTTTAACATTTCTTTCACCTTTTCAATTTTCTGTTACATTTGGCACGACTGTATAATTGCTGAAACCTTTCAGCCAACATCTCAAATAATTTTAAAATTTATTTCACCTTTTCAATTATCTGTTACCTTTGGCACACCTGTATAATTGCTGAAACCTTTCTGCCAACAGCTCAAATCATTTTAACATTGCTTTCACCTGTTCAATTATCTGTGACTTTTCACCCGCCAGTATAATTGCTGAAACCTTTCTTACACCTATTAGATTAGCTGTAACTGTATTACACCAAACAATTATTTGTAACCTTTGTCCCATCTGTTTAACCACTTGCAAGATTGTTTTTTCCCCTCCTTGCAAGATTGTTTTTTCCCCTCCTCTTTAATTACCGGTAAACTTTCCTCCGCCTGCCTGTATAATTTGCTGTAACCTCCCTTCCTCCAATTTAGTTTATTTTAACCTTTCTCCCCCTGTCTGTGTTGCTCAACGTACTCCAGTACAGTAGACGATAACCTTTTTCGTTAAAATTACTTTAACCTTTCTCTCAAACTTTTTAATTAGCTTTCTTTACGTACCTGTCAAACTGGTGCTCACAGTTCAATATCTTCGTTCGATCGGTCTTCTACTATGTATTCTACGTATCAATCGATGCTCACCTTTAGATATTTTTATACCCCTGACGTTAACCTTTTGGAAGCACCAGCAGCCTAATTTGTTATTGTAATATTTCACTATGTTGCACTAAGTCTCAGTGGAAAATGTATGTAATTGTTCGCCCTATTAAATTGTTTGTGATTTTCATGTTAATTGATTTACCAGTTGTTAAACGATTGTTTTTGTGCTATAAGTTCGTTGATTTTTTTCTCACTTGCTTATTCATCTACTTCATATACCATCAACTTTGGTTTCAGTTCCTTATTTTTGTGTATTGAAAGTTTGTTTAATGTCATTCTTAGTTAACAAATATAAATAAACATTAATTTATTTTGTTTAAAAAAAAAACTTCACGTATTATTTCTAAAAAGTATATATGCTATATTATAACTTCTTAAACTTGTATTTAATTAGATCAGGTGAACTCGATTTCTCATTCCCAATTTTTAAAGTTTAATACAAAGTACTG